TCACCATGTTGGCCAGGCTGTTGTGAAACTCCTGACCTCAGGTGATCCGCCCACCTCAGCCTCCCAAGGTGCTGGGATTGCAGGCCTGAGACACCACGCCCGGCTCCTCCACCTTGCTTGGTGCTTTCCTTCGTCTTTCCTCTCCTGCCCTCTCTCTCTCACTCTCTCTCTCTGGCCTCAGGGGGCCCTGGGTCTTCACCCGGATGGAGAAGGCCAGGCTTCTGTGCAGGCAGTTGTGGGCTCTATTTCCTAAGCCCTGTCAGCTGCCCTGTGCCCCTGGAAGGCCTGGGTTGAGGTCAGCAGAGATGTGGGAAGAGGAGCCCCTCTGTCTAGGCCCCTGTCCTGTGCCTGCACTTTGAGGAGTTTGGGTGTGTACTGGAGTTTGGATGCCCAGGGCGTGTGAGCCAGAGTATTTGGTTTTGGTTTCACTCTGGGCTGATTTTGCTGCTTTTAGGCCTCAGTCTTTAGTTCGGTCTTTAGTTGAAAGCTGGGGAACACTCGGGAAGGCTTGGATGTCCATGTTTGGGTAGCATTAAGGGGAAGCGGGGCCTTTCCCCCTCTCCGCGTCCAGGCTGGTTATGTCAGCTGGGCTCTGTGAGTGCCATGAAGGGAGCTTGGCTTGAGGACTTGGAGTTTCATTTGCCTCGTGGAGGGTCCTCCTTCCTTCCCAGCCTTAGAAGATCAGGTTTCATGTCTGTAGGCCCGGCAGTGTTTCCGACAGTCCTTATCTGTTTGGGCCATCAGAGCTCCACCCCATTTCTCCAGGGAGGTTCAAGCTGACTGCAAAGCCCAACACAGCTGGAGCCAGCAGAACAGCCGACCTGAACTTTCACCAGTGCCAGGCTTTGTGTGAGGCACTTTACACGTATGGCCACATTTAGTCTTCACAGTGAGGCCATGAGTAGTTACCCTTAAGATCACTCCCATTCACAAAGGAGGAAACTGAGGCACCAAAGGGGCTAAGTATTTGACCTAAGATAGTTTGATAAAGAACAGATTTGAGATTCAAAGCCGGACAAACCAGTGCCAGAGTCTTAGAGCAACTACTGTGTCTGTGTGTCTGTGTGTGTGGATATGTGTGCGCATGTGTGTATACGTTTGCATGTATATGTGTGCCTGTGTGTATGTGTGTGGCTGTATGTGTTTCTGTGTGTATATGTGTGCCTACATGTGTATGTATGTGTGTATACACGTGTATATTTGTGTATGTGTGTGGCTGTATGTGTATTTGTGTACGTGTGTATATGTGTGTGTATATAGGTGTCTGTGTAAGTGTGTTTGTCTCTGTGTGTATATTTGTGTGTGTGTGTATATGTATATGTGTATGTGTAGGCATGTGTATGTGTGTGTATGTGTGTATATGTATATGTGTATGTGTAGGCATGTGTATGTGTGTGTGTGTTTGTCTCTGTGTGTATATTTGTGTGTGTGTGTATATGTATATGTGTTGTGTAGGCATGTGTATGTGTGTGTATGTGTGTATATGTATATGTGTATGTGTAGGCATGTGTATGTGTGTGTATGTGTGTATATGTATATGTGTTTGTGTAGGTATGTGTATGTGTGTGTATGTGTGTATATGTGCTTTTGTGAGTATATGTGTCTCTGTGTATATATGTATCTGTGTGTATATCTGTGTCTGTGTGTCTGTATCTCTGTGTATCTCTGTGTGTGTATCTGTATCTGTGTGTATCTGTGTATATCTGTGTGTGTCTGTGTATATCTGTGTGTATCTGTGTGTATCTGTGTATCGTGTATCCGGATCTGTGTATCTCTGTGTATCTGTGTGTGTGTCTGTATCTGTGTGTGTATATCTGTATCTGTGTATCTGTGTGTGTGTGTGTATCTCTGTGCATGTATCTGTAGCTGTGTATGTGTGTGTGTATCTCTGTGTATCTGGATCTTTGTATCTGTGTGTGTGTACTTCTGTGTGTGTGTCTGTATCCGTGTGTGTATCTGTATCTGTGTATATGTGTGTGTATCTCTGTGTATCTGGATCTTTGTATCTGTGTGTGTGTACTTCTGTGTGTGTGTCTGTATCCGTGTGTGTATCTGTATCTGTGTATATGTGTGTGTGTATCTGGATCTTTGTATCTGTGTGTATCTGTATCTGTGTATGTATCTGTATGTGTATATGTGTGTGTGTGTGTGTGTGTGGCAGCTCCCCACACCTCTCACAGGCTACCTCCTTACTCCTGCAGCCCTTATCCTTGTAAACGTGTTCTCCAAGTGACTGCATAAAGCCCTTTTGATGACTGGTTCCTTGACACGGACACAGTGAGAGCCCTGTTCCCCATCCCCACCCCTGCCCCAGGCCCTGGGCCTCAGCTCAGAGGCCCAGCCAGCACCCTGGCTGCCAGCATGGGCCTGGGCCTCACGGTTGAGCCCAGCCCTGCTGGGGATAGCACACTCCGCTGCTGGGGCCTGTGCACAGTCTTGGAGACGGGCCCATGATAGGTCATGACGGGGCACAAAGAGCCACCTGCGAAGCCCCACACCCTGGGAGGGGAAGAGGTGTTTCTTTCAGGCCTGGCCTCCCAATCACCAACCTGGAGCAGGACGAGAGCTGTACGCAGGCAGCACTGTCCCCCACCAGAGGGTTCTGCAAGGGGCTGCCCTCTACAATGGCACCGGCCCCGAAGTCCCAGGCCCTTGTCCTGGCCGCCTTAGGGTACAGGCAGCTCCTGCCTCACACTTCTGGCTGGCCACAGCAGTAAAGCAAGGCAGGGCCACCTAGAGCTCTTTGGTTTGGGGATCTTCCTTTCACCAGTGGTTTGTGGGAGACGGATGAGAAGGGTGATGAGAGCGAAAGTAGACAGAGACAGGACACAAAGAGGAAAAAAGAGAGAATGAGAGAGAGGCTCACCCAAGGTGTCCCAAATAGGAGGACACCTTCCCCTTTCCTCCATGCAGGAGATGCTCCCGGGGAAACGCAGCCGAGGGAGAGATGGGCTGGCCGGGGTTCCAGGCCCTGCACAGCGGCTGTCTCTGCACGATGGTGTGTGTGGGGGCCCTGCAGGATCAGCTGCAGTTCTGTGAGCCAGTGGCCCAGCTGCTCACCCCTCCCCAGAGCCCTCGCCCCTCCCAGCTGAGGAGCGCTGCTGTCAGAGGCTGACCCTGCGCATCTCTGGCTTTATCCTCCCCGCACATTGAAACTATGAGGCTTCGGCCCTGTGACTGCAGCTTGCCTAGCTCCACGGGTCAGAGACAAGTCTGGAACATGGCGCTTTCATGCAAACCAGACCTGGCCTCCCCCAGCCCCTTACTCCCGGGGAAGGGGGGTGGGCCAGGGCCCTTGCTCAGGCTCTAGTTTCAGAACTTTGCAACTACTGTCCTTCATTCTGATCTCTCTGAAACGTTTACGAGGCTGCCTTCCACTCTTGCCGCTTGCTCCACCCTCAGCCTCCAGCGGGACTTTGAGTCAGTGCTGCAGAAAACAGGGAATTTGAGGGGCCCCAAAGTCCTGGGCTGCTCCATCAAAGCAGCGAGCACCCCTCAGTACCTCATGTTCTAGGGAAGCCAAATCAAAGGCAAACCATGAATTCCTCTTGCTCACGGCCAATAAAAACCTTGCTCCAGTGCCGGTTTCCTTTGCTGAAATCAGATATCTTGGTAATAAACAAGTCCGAAAGGCAGGGAAAAGCTCTTGCTTGCTTCTTTCTTCTGATTAGTTTTTCTTCCTTAAAAAAAAAAAAAAAAAAAAAGTTTCTCCTATAACAGGATGCCTGCCCCAGAAACTTGAGCACAGAAGGCCGCCCTCTCCTGCCCTGCTTCCCTCACTCCTCCAGAACCTTCCCCACTGGGCTCCTGTGGGGTGGGGGTTGGGGCTTGGCTTCCCCAGGACTAGACTGCTTAGCTCAAAGGCAGGTCAAAGGGGCTGGGGAGAAGAGGCCTTTGCTGCCTGGGGAGTTGGCTGCTGGCTCACAGTCTTACAGCAATAGCTGACTTCTCAGCCTCTGGCTGGTGGCCGGCAGCAGTGGGAAGGCGGAGTTTTGACGAAGTGGAACTCCCCCTTTTTTTTCTTTTTCTTCCTTTTTTTTTTTTTTTAAGAGACAGTCTCCCTCTGTCACCCAAGCTAGAGTGCATCACAGCTGGTGTGATCACAGTCACTGCAGCCTCACTCTCCTGTGCTCAAGCGATCCTCCCGCCTCTGCCTCCTGAGTCACTGGGACTGCAGGTGTGCACCACCATACCCAGCTAATTTTTAAATTGTTTTTAGAGACAGGGTCTTGCTACGTTTCCCGGGTTGGTCTTGAACTACTGACCTCAAGCAATCCTCCTGCCTCAGCCTCCCAAAATGCTGGGATTATAGGCGTGGAGCCACCATGTCTGGCCAAGGAACCCCTTTTCTCTAAGGCAGTTCTTCTGAATTCCTCTGAGTGTGCCATGGGGCTGTGGAAAGCCCCGCACTGCGGGATTTAGTGTGGTGTCCACAGAGAGGTAGATCTTGGGCATCAGAGGCGCTGGGAGGGCAGAGGCCTTGGGCTTTTTGCTTCCTGGGACTGCCTTGCCCTCGCACATCAACCCTCTCCTGGGCCCCTGCCTGTCCTTGTCCAATCCCAGGGCAAATGTAACTCCACATGTGGCCTGCTGCGAAGGAGTGCCCTCCCCTGAGGTGCTGACATCTCTCTTCTTCCCTCCCAAATAGGTTTTTAAGTGACTTTGCTGTCAGAAGATGCTATTCTGTTTGTTTTTCCTCTGACACTATCTCTCCAGAGAGTTTCTGGTCAAGAGAATTATGTGGAGGCTGCAGATTGCGAGAGAATTGCGCCTAATAGGGAACAGACAGACAAGACAGCTTTCATGTCTAGCCAAGTTTCTTTCCCCTCCTCTTTCTCTCTCTCTCCCACTTCTCATCTTCCCTTTTTGGCTTCAAAGTTGGCCTTCATTTGGGCTTGTTTCTTCGGTACATCTGGTGAATAAGGTCACACATTGATTTTATTTTGGAGATTGGCAGCGGGGTCAGGCTTAGCTCTGAGGCTGGAGAGCGGCACGGCTGCTGGGAGGGCGGGTGCTGGAGACGCTAGCCTGGGATAGCACAGAGCTAGCAGGCGGTGTCTCCAGGCAGCTGGTGCAGATGGGACCATTCGAGAAGGCACCCCGGCACTCAGAGTGGCCTCTACTCCCTGTGATCTCAAGGCTCAGGAGTGTGGGCTTGTAAAATTTATTTTAAATACAAGAAAAGTGCCAAAAGCCCCTCCTGCTGTCCCCACCGTGTGCCGTTTCAGCTGATCTGTGCTGGACTTTAGAGGAAAAAAAAAGTGTTAGCTCTGCGGTCCCTTGAGGCTTCAATGTGATTATAGAAGAGGAACTTAAGTTTAAGGACCCTTACCTTGTAAGTAGCTGCTCAACCACACAGAGCCATAGTTTACACATGTTGGTGCAAACTGGGTGGAAAAGGAAGCCCTTTTCTTTACCTATATGTTCCGTAAGGGGAGGGAGGACAGATTAGTAAAACATTTTGGTAGACGGTCTGGATTCTTTTGTCCTTAGTCATGAGGCTGATGTAATAGCATTCAACTGATTTCATGGTAAAGACAGTCACAGTTCCCAGAAAAATCCTTTCCCCTTGCACCACTGAAGACATTCCACTCCTACTGCAGCCCTTCAGGAACTGGTAAGCGAGTCCTTCCTCCTTCAAAGCTTTGGTGGAATGCACAGGGCCACTTGTTTTCTGAAGGATGAAGATGTCCTGGATTTTAAGAATGTCCTGTCTGACCTCATTCCTGTGTGTCCAGCCTTAAGGAACAGAATTCACTGCTGGTCCAGCTTCAGGGGGAAGGCACAGGGTTGCACACTCTGAGCCCTGCAGCCTGTGAGATTAGCTTGAATCATGAGGAATGAGCTTGGGAGGGAGATGGGATGATGAGAGGGGAGGCCAATCCCACTCATGGCTGGGTTTAATGCTCTCCTTCCTTCTCACCCCCACTGGCTGTGGTTTCAAAGTTTGTTCTGCATTAAGATGCATCAATTCTCAACTGTTCCAATGGAATAGAAACACACACTTATTTTATGGTAATAAGGCTCATTTAAATGAAAGCTGCACATCTAAGAATATGCCACTTATCAATTATTAAAGGTAGAGATAGAATATACTAGTGTGGAGTAGTGACCATGTTCTGGGCCAGAAAGTCAAGTCCTGAGTTTATTTCTTGTCCGGCCACCAACTCACTCTGACCTCAGACCAGGAGAACACGGAACCTTCTCTGGGCCCCAGTTCCCCGTCCACAAAGGGACATTGCCTATCAGCCTACACAAGTGTACCAGCTGTTGTGATGGTGAAATGAGAGAATATAGAGAATAGTGCTGCATATGCCATCAATGTTAAACAAAAGGGAGGGGGGTACCGTTTGAGTATTAAGAGGTTGCTTTGAGAACTGTGACAGATTCTGTGAGGAGCTCCCCAAGAGATCAAAGCCTTGATGGACTGTTGGGAGGTTTTGTGGCATCTCAAGCCTTCTGAGGCTGGCTTCAGGGCAGACAAGGGCCCGGCGCCCTCAGAGACTGCAAGGCTGCACAGGTGGGTCCATTCCAGGAGAGCAAGCCGTCCAAACTCCAGGAACTGGCTTTCATGAAAATCTGGAAGAAACCCAACCTGCCACCCATCATGTGTTAACGAGACAAACTCACAACCTGGCTCAATTTTCTCTCTGCAAAAGATCCCATCCTGCTGGGGACACTCTGGACACACTTTGGTGTCCTTCCCTTATCTAGAGCTGATTGAGCCTTCCCTGGCTTTCCTCCTTATTCGCTGTGTTGGTTTTTTGTTTTTTTTTTTTGAGATGGGGGTCTCACCTTGTCGCCCAGGCTGGAGTGCAGTGGTGCGATCTCAGCTTACTGCGACTTCTGCCTCCCAGGCTCAACTGATCTTCCCACCTCAGCCCCTGGAGTAGCTGGGACCACAGGCATGCGCCACCATGCCCAGCTAATTTTGGGGGAGGGTATTTTTGGTACAGACAGGATTTCACCATGTTGCCCAGGCTGGCTGGTATTGAACCCCTGAGGCTCTACAAGTCACCCTATCACTTGAGTCATGTCCTCTCTGGCCTCCACCAGACTGAGTAAACCAGGAGTCCCTCTCACGGTAAATTGCTGACAGTGGAGAGCCAGTGCTTGTCCCTCCGGTTAGCCAATGTCGCCATCTAGAGGCAATTCAAAAGTCTCTTGCAGCAAGGGGTAACGTCTATTTCTGTAATTCCTGAAATGTCTTTTTTCTTGCCCTTAGAAGTTCAGAATCCCTCTCACCCACGGTGTAGCATTGGCTGCGTCTGTGACCGTGGGGAAGCCCTCCTCCAAAGCCCAGCTGGCACGATGCCAAGGCACCAGCACAGCTGCTTCCTGTGGGTTCCAATGCCCCCTCCTGTTACATTCACTCACTACACCAGATCATAAAAAATAAATCTTTTAATTGCTTTGTAATTGGCACAGATGGTATAATTCAAACTCACATTTTTATTTAATAGACTCTGAAGTATCACACTGTAGCTCTCACTGAAATAATACAGGAATCATAATCTTTAAGTTTACAAAAGTACATTCGGCAGCAGCATCATGTTTGAAAGTTACTTGTAAAATCAGATGGGGGCTTGAAAAAATAAGAGAAAAAGCCATCTGGAAAATAAAAAACAAGCCATACTGAAGCCATCTGTCATGACTACTGGAGAATGGTGTTTTTGGGTTTTTTAAAGATCTTGTTACTTTATTAAACGATCCAGAAGAGTTGCGCAATTCTGGCTTGTAAATACAGCGGGGAAGCTGTAACTGTGCCTGGAAAGTGCTCCTCAGGACAAGGAACGTCAAAGTCAGGCTTTGTTGACACCATGTGCCTGAACAGGCTTTGAAGGAATCTTTCGTTTCTTAGGAGTAATGAGATTCACCGGTTTTTGATTTAAAAAATCATCCTAAAGAGATTATAGTGGAGGAGATAATCATTAAACGCTCATCACTGTAGGTCCCAGAGGAAAAACTCAAAAAGTCCTGTCTCTTAAGGACGATGTCAGAAAGGCCCAATTCCTGCTTATGTTATCCCTTAATTTCAGGGATACCACAGACTGGCAGTGACACAAGCTCTCACTACCAAATTAATTTTTTTTTAAGAGACAGGCTGTCTCTAAAAAAGGTGTGGGGGGGTATTATCTGCATATTAAAAGGTTGCTTTAAGAAATGTGACAGCATCTACGAAGAACTCCCCAAGTGATCAAAGCCTTGATGGACTATTGGGAGATTTTATTTATTTATCTTTTATTTTTTTAGGCAGGAGTACAGTGGTGCAATCATACCTCACTGCAGCCTCAAACTCCTGGGCTCAAGTGATTCTTCCACCTCAGCCACCATGCCCAGTTAATTTTTAAATTTTTTGTAGAGATAGGGTCTCCTGATGTTGCTGAGGCTGGTCTTGAACTCCTAGGCTCAGGCGATCCTTCCACCTCTGCCTCCCAAATTGCTGGGATTACAGGCATGAGTCACCGTGCCTGGCCAGCAACAATTTGTGTTTTGAGAATTAACCCGAGCCATTTCCTGAAGTTACCTGTACTGCCATTCCATAGTTGGGAATATCTTCACATATCTATCGGCTAGGGAAGAATCTGGGGGCAGAAATCACCTTATTCCAGAGCAGCAATCTAGACAATGTAGTAGGAGTTTGTAGGGAGTAGTTAACCATAAGGAATTTCCTATTAAAATGAGATGAAAAAGGGGAATCCCTCTGAATTCCACGATTAGAGGCATCAGTGACCAAATTTTAACCTGGAAAAGGCATTCATGGATCAGTTCATGCTCCTGGGCAGAATTCAATATTGGACATGATTCCTAGCTATTGATTTGGTATCTGTTCTGCAGAAATGTTTGAATTTCTCAAACTCAATCCAAAGTCACTGCTTGAAGCAAGCTTCCTATGTCAGAGACTAAGCACAGATGGTTTCCATCAACATACGTGATCATTAGTGCTCTCCACAGGTCATAGGAGAGCAGGACTGTGCTGGGACACAGGGAATATCGAAATGAAAATCTAGGTTAGTGCATAGTTAGTACTCTCAGTATTCCCTGGCTCAGTGCTCCTGTGCCACCTCCAGCGGCGCCTTCACGTCTGCTGCGCACTTGTCCGGGGTGGGTTTCTTTGAGTAATCCCGCTCTCCAAAAATGGTGCTTCCTATTCGGACATTTGTAGATCCTACTTCAATCTGTAGGAAAGAAGAGAAGGTATCGAGGATCAGGTTTAAAATAATAAAATGGAGCCAGTGCTGAAGCTGTGCCCCCATTCTGGCTCTCAAGAGCCGTCTATGAAGAATAATAACAGCCGAAGATGGCTTCGGGGTGATGGTTCTCCTCAGAGATTTGACCTCTGAGGGCGTATATAGGAAACAAGTTGGGTTTCTCTAGATTTCCAGTGGTTGGGGAGTGTGGCTGGCACTCAGCTAGGTGCAGGTCAAGGACATTAGACGTCCAGTGTGGGATGCAGCCGCACAGCACAGCACACCCACCTTTCCAATGTGCCACGGTCAGTAGATGAAAAAAAATCCTTATAATTATCTGATCAAATTCCATTTTACTTACCAATGCAATGTATTTTTGCACTGTTTTAAGAAATACAATTTTCCAGGAATGCAAATTTATATTTTGATTTTTGAAACTTTATCAAGTTATTTGCTATTTCAGAAAATCATGTATTTGTATTGCCAATCTAGCACACTTGTATCAGTTGATATTTACAGCTGTTGATGTACACATAAGATTGTTGGTGAATCTACACGTAAGAGTAAGCCTCGGATGGGTGCGGTGGCTCATGCCTGTAATCCCATCACTTTGGGAGGCTGAGGTGGGTGGGTTACCTGAGGTCAGGAGTTCAAGAACAGCCTGGCCAACATGGTGAAACCCCGTCTCAACTAAAAATACAAAAATTAGCCGGGCATGGTGGCAGGCGCCTGCAATCCCAGCTACTTCAGAGGCTGAGGCAGGAGAATCGCTTGAACCTGGGAGGTGGAAGTTGCAGTGAGCTGAGATCGCGCCACTACATTCCAGCCTGGACAACACAGCAAGACTCAGTTTCCAAAAAAAAAAAAAAAAAGATGAAGCCTTAGGCTGCTTCATTGTGATTTGCTGTGATACAGCCAGGCCCACGCACTTATGTAATGATATGCCTTTCCAAAAATTATAGCTTAATTTCTTATTTTCCTTTAGACTACACTTATGGAATTATGTTTATAATTTATGGAATTATATTTATAATTAATTTCTTATTTCCTTTAGATTATACTTATGGAATTATATTTTGTTTTAAAAGTTCAGATGTCAGGCTATAATTTCTATACATTTCTTTTACTTTTATTTTATTTTTTATTTTTTTTGAGACGGAGTCTCGCTCTGTCAGCCAGGCTGGAGTGCAGTGGTGCGACCTTGGCTCACTGCAATCTCCGCCTCCCGGGTTCAAGCAATCCTCCTGCCTCAGCCTCCCGAGTAGCTTGGATTACAGGTGTGCGTCACCATGTCCAGCTAATTTTTGTAGTTTTAGTAGAGAGGGGGATTCACCATGTTAGTCAGGCTTGTCTCGAACTCCTGACCTTGTGATCCACTCGGCTCGGCCTCCCACAGTGCATGGATTACAGGCGTGCGCCTACCTCTTTTCAAAAAAGAAAGGGCATGGGGAATGGGAGATGCTGGAATAGCTGAGACCCTGAGACTGGGTACCCTATTGCCATCCCAAGGCATTTCCGAGGCTTCTATAGCAAAGATCTGCTCTTGTGTCAGTCTCTCAGACACCCTACTCCCACCCCTTGAGGCAGACAGGGCACTGGCTGAACACTTACCGCGTGCTGGAAATCCACGGACATGCCCATGCTTAGCTCAACCTGGTCAGCAGGGATGTTCAGCTTTTTACACAGCTCCTCCCGGAGGGACAGTAATAGCTGACAGAAAGAGACGACACCTATTTTACTCCTGCCTTCTCTAATGATGCCCAAAAGTGGCTGAATCTGAACTTCTCTGACAATGGTTATGTATTCCTTTTTTATTTTTTATTTTTTTTATTTTTTGAGACAGAGTCTTGCTCTGTCTCCCAGGCTGGAGTACAGTGGCGTGATCTTGGCTCACTGCAAGCTCTGCATTCCGGGTTCACGCCATTCTCCTGCCTCAGCCTCCCGAGTAGCTGGGACTACAGACGCCCGCCAACACGCCTGGCTAATTTTTTGTATTTGCAGTAGAGATGGGGTTTCACCGTGTTAGCCAGGATGACCTCAATCTCCTGACCTCGTGATCCACCCGCCTTGGCCTCCCAAAGTGCTGGGATTACAGGCGTGAGCCACCGCGCCCGGCCGGTTATGTATTCCTTATGATTTCAAGGCCTGTCAAAATTGCCAGAAGTTACTGAAAGGGATTTTTGCAAACTATCCCACTTTTGAGAAAACTATTAGTCACTGGAGAGGAAGAAAGCTCATATTCTCTAAAGACTATGTTTTAGCCAAGTTCAAGTTGAGTTGAGAAAGGTTTGCAGGGCTTTGGTAACCTGTTCTTCCCTTTTCCTTCTGAGGAGAGTTCTGAAGAGGGCTAGAACACTCGACAGGCAGTGTCTGGGATGTCTCTGCAGTCCCCACTGCAGCCAGCCCTGCAAAAGCACTCCAGCCCCTGCTTCTTCAGCACATGACCAATCTCCCCGACCCCCCAGTACCTGGAAGTCTGGATTTGGTCCTTGACTAAGATCATGCCCAAAGCTTCCTATGGTCATCAGTCCCACAAACTCCAGGCTAGGACACTTGGCATTTATGTGCTCCACGATGGCTATGGTCTCTGAAGGTGGGAGGCCATGTTTACCTTCACGAAAAGAAACGGAAAACAGATATACTGCAAGGGTAAATGGCCAGAGGAAGGCTCCATTTTCCTCCCTTCTTTATGACAGAAGAGGTGACCCCCAACAAGAGAATCTCTTGAAAGAACCTCAAGTCCTAAAGAGTAACTTTATACTTGGGGTTTTCTATGCTGCTCTGCTTCTGGTCAGGTTCCAGATGTCTCAAGAAGAGCTATCAGTTGGATTATCTTTCCTCCATCTCAGGATTTTAGCTGAAAACAGCTAGGAGACATGGAAAAGAAAAAACCTTGCTTTTTTGGGATACCAGGAAGATTTGCATTGCCAAAATGCCAGATGAACCTGAGAATTACTTTTCTAAATCAAGAATTTTTATAGTTTTATTAATTTAATGGAGTTGCAAAAAATTTAAAATAAAGTACATGTTAAATATTTTTGGCTATATATTTGCAAAGTTTAACTGAACTTTCTAATTAACAACTGGAGGAGAAATCTGCAGCAAGCAATTATTTGTTACACAGTTATAAGAGCTATTGAGGCCGGGCACGGTGGCTCACGCCTGTAATCCCAGCACTTTGGGAGGCCAAGGTGGGCGGATCACAAGGTCAGGAGATCAAGACCATCTGCTAACGGGGCTGAGATCCCGTTTGCTTTAGCTAAAAAAAAAAAAAAAAAAGTTAGCCAGGTGTGGTGGTGGTGGGTGCTGTAGTTCGCCAGTACTCAGGAGGCTGAGCGAGAGAATGGTGTGAACCTGGGAGCGAGGGTTGCAGTGAGCGAGGATTGCACCACTGTACTCCGCCTGGGCTGGACAGAGCGAGACTGCCGTCTTGAAAGAAAGAAAAGAAAAAAAAGGTATTGACTAGTGTTTGCTTCCCGTTATGTAGTGAGCTATGCAGTAAACGTTTACGTTCAGTCTTGGTAAGCTAGGGGCGTATGTATGAGCTAGATTGATCGCAATAAATGATAGCAGATAGAATACGACGAGTCGCTTATGAGTTGTTTCGGATTTTCTTTTTTTTTTTTTTTTTTTTTTTTTGAGACGGAGTCGGTCGGTCTGGTCGCCCAGGCTGGAGTGCAGTGGCCGGATCTAGCTCATGGCAAGCTGCAGCCTCCTGGGTTTACGCGCATTCTCGCGTGCCCTGCGCTCCGAGTAGGCTGGGCGGACTACAGGGCCGCCACCATCGCCGGCTAGTTTTGGTTGTAGGTGTGGTGGGTGGGTAGAGACGGGGTTTACATGGTTAGGCCAGGAATGGTGCGTCGATTCCTTACCTTGTGATGGCGCCCGGTCTCGCCCTCCCAATGTGCTGGGGATTAGCTTGAGCCCACGCGACAGCCGGGGCGCTGATTTCGGATTTCTATTGATAATTGGGATTTAAACCCAGGCAGTCTGACTCTAGTACATTATCTAGAAAACAGATGCCTCTACTGTGTTCCTGCATACTAAGATTTGGTGAATACTGGTGCTTTGATGGTTGCAATCGAATACTTGATCTGTATACATTTATTCTTAACGAATAGCTAACAACACGTGTAGGGCTCTGGGCTAACAGTGTTGCCTGGATTATCACATTCAGTCCTAACCACACCCTCTGAAATAAGCATTATGATATCACTGCCAGAAAAGGAAACTGAGGTACAGAGAGATTGGGTAACTTATCCAAGGTTACAATACTGGAAAGCAGTGTAGCTCAAACCCAAGGTCTGTCTGATTTCAAAGTCCAAGCTTCTATTCACACTATGTTACATTGTTAATCCAAGCCCCATAAAGATATTCATTGACTGGTGCTCACAGTAATTTTTTTTTTTTGAGATGGAGTCTCATTCTGTCACCCAGGCTGCAGTGCAGTGGCGTGATCTCGGATCACTGCAATCTTCACCTCCGGGGTTCAAGGGATCCTCCTGCCCTCAGCATCCCGAGCAGCTGGGACTATGGGCACACACCACCATGCCTGGCTAATTTTCGTATGTATAGTAGAGATGAAGTTTCACCATGTTGGCTAGGCTGGTCTCGAATTTCTGACCTCAGGTGATCCACCTGCCTCATCCTTCTCAAGTGCTGGGATTACAGGTGTTAGCCACCGCACCCGGCCCACTCACGGTAATTATCTTCCATTCTTTCTTAATGCAACATTAAGTAATTTTTTAAAGATCTAAGAGTATTTATATACTCTTAGGTCTTAAAAATTAATTTAAAATACTCCTTGCAGGAGTGATGGTGACCTTTGGGGATTTTCAGATGAAAGTCACAATCCCAGGCCAGGTGCAGTGGCTCATGTCTTTAACTTCAGTACTTTGGGAGGCTGAGGTGGGTGGATCACCTGAGGTCAGGAGTTCAAGACCAGCCGGGCCAATATGGCGAAACTCCATCTCTACTAAAAATACAAATATTAGCTGGGTGTGGTAGCGTGTGCCTGTAATCCCAGCTACTCGGGAGGCTGAGGCAGGAGAATTGCTTGAACCCAGGAGGTGGAGGTTGCAGTGAGCTGAGATCGCGCCACTGCACTCCAGCCTGAGCGACAGAGCGAGGCTCCATCTCAAAAAAAAAAAAAAAAAAAAGGCCTATTGCAGTGGCTCACAGATCACTTGAGAGGTCATGAGTTCGAGAGCAGTCTGGCCAATGTGGTGAAACCCCGTCTCTACTACAAATACAAAAATTAGCCAGGTGTGGTGGCGCATGCCTGTAGTCCTAGCTACTTGGGAAGCTGAGGTGGGAGAATTGCTTCAACCTGGGAGGCAGAGGTTGCAGTAAGCTGAGATCACGCCATTGCACTCCATCCTGGGCGACAGAGTGAGACCCCATCTCAAAAAAAAATCAGAAAAAAACAAAATGCAAAACAAAGTCACAATCTTCTTCTTGACTCCCCATCCATTCTTCTTCCCCTAAAATTAAGATATAATGAACCATGATGTAGTAAAGAATGATATACAGACTGGTTTGCATGTCATTATGCTACCTAGATCACACATAAAACAGCCTACTTAGAGGCCTGTGATCCCGTGATTTGTTTCCATAACCTTATCCATCGGACACTTGGGGCCACCCATTCTCCCTGAGCTTCAACCATCCTAAGGGAAGAAAAATCTACAATTCAGGTCTGGTCACTTACTCTCTTCTCCGCTGGTGTTAATCTGGACCATAACCTTTAACCTTTCAGGAGAACCTTTTTTCTGCCAGGAACTATTCACTTTGTCTGCCAACTTCACAGAATCCACTGTTTCCAGCATGAAGAGATTGGGGACAGCTGTAATGAGACAGAGGCAAGGTAGTATTCCTTATTTGCTCTATTGCAGCAAGTAACATGCAACAAATCTCTGACTTGTTAGAGGAAGAAATATGCCAGGCAAAGAAAAACACAGTGAAATCTCAGTTCCTCTAAGAAGACAAATGTGACAGTTTTACTAGATACAAATTCAAATGTCAGACCATCCCTGGCTAATCAGCAAAGGTAAATAAGGGAAACACTGACATACATGATCGGGCAGCATATATATCCGTATGCTTCAAGAAGCTGGTAACAGACAGATTCCTAGTAAAAGGCTTGATCTATGTCTCAGTTCAAACTGAGAGAAACAGGTCAGGATGACAGTGAAGAAAGGATAACCAGTGGAAGCCAAGATGCTTCCCCAGCATATCACCACATTCTTCAACTTTCTGGGATGAGGGTATTCTTATCCAACAAAGACATCACAATGACCCCAACATTGGCCGGGTGCAGTGGCTCACACTTGTAATCCCAGGCGGGTGGATCACCTGAGGTCAGGAGTTTGAGACCAGTCTGGCCAACATGGTGAAACCCCATCTCTACTAAAAAACTGCAGCAATCCACAGGACAGATTACCACAGTTTACATAACTATTCCTCTTGTTAATGGACGTTAGATTGTTTCTTATTTTTTATTACAAAAACAAAGCTTGGATATAGAAGTTGGTGCTATGTACAAGTATTTCAGATGGGTAGTTTGCAAATATTTTCTCCCATTCTGAGTTGTCTCTTCACTTTGTTGTTTCCTTTGCTCTGCAAGAGCTTTTTTTCTTTCTTTCTTTCTTTTTTTTTTTGAGACAGAGTCTTGCTGTGTTGCCCAGGCTAGAGTGCAGTAGCACAATCTTGGCTCACTGCAACCTCTGCCTCCCAGGTTCAAATGATTCTTCTGCCTCAGCCTCCCAAGTAGCTGAGATTACAGGTGCCCACCACTACACCTGGCTAATTTTTGTATTTTTAGTAGAGATGGGGTTTTGCCATGTTGGTCAGGCTGTTCTTGAAGTCCTGACCTCGTGATCTGCTGGCCTTGGCCTCCCAAAGTGCTGGGATTGCAGGCGTGAGCCACTGCACCCAGCCTGCACGAGCTTTTTAACTCGATGTGATCCCATTTGTCCATTTTTGTGCTGGTTGCCTGTGCTTTTGGAGTATTTACTCAATAAATCTTTGTCAAGGTCGGGCGTGATGGCTCATACCTGTAATCCCCACACTTTGGGAGGCTGAGGAGGGCAAATCACTTGAGGCCAGGAGTTCGAGATCAGCCTGACACAGTGAAGCCCTGTCTCTACCAAAAAATACAAAAATTAGCCAATGTGGCTGGGCATTGTGGCTCACGCCTGTAATCCCAGCACTTAGGGAGGCCGAGGCGGTCGAATCACTTGAGGCCAGGAGTTTGAGATCTGTTTGGCCAACATGGTGAAACCCTGTCTCTATTAAAAATACAAAAAAAAATTAGCCAGGCATGGTGGCACATGCCTGTAATCCCAGCTACTCGAGGCTGAGGCAGAATTCCTTGAACCTGAGAGGCAGAGGTTGCAGTTAAGCCGGGATCATGCCACTGCGCTCCAGCCTGGGTGACAGAGCAAGACTAGAAAGACTAAAAAAGAAAGAAAGAAAATATACATATATATTTGGCTTCAAGTGATCCTCCCACCTTGGCCTCCTAAAGTGTTGGGATTTCTGGTGTGAGTCACTGCATCTGGCCTCAAGAAGCCTTTATGGAAATGAATTGAGCCGTGAGGTTGAACGAGTATAATGGATCATCCAGAAAGGAAAATAGCACTAAAACAACAGTTCTGTTAGGCTTTCCTGCCCCTTCTATGCCTGCTGGCTCCTTCCCCCCTCCCTCTTCCCCTCCCTCCTCCCATCACCTTTACTTATTTCCAACATGGTCGGGTGCAGTGGCTCACACCTGTGATCCCAGCACCTTGGGAGGCTTAGGCGGGCGGATCACCTGATGTCAGGAGTTCAAGACCAGCCTGGCCAACATAGTGAAACCCTGTCTCTACTAAAAACACAAAAATTAGTCAGCATGGTGGGGCGCACCTGTAATCCTAGCTACTTGGGAAGCTGAGGCAGGAGAATTGCTTGAACCCAGGAGGTGCAGGTTGCAGTGAGCCGAGATCATGCCACTGCATTCTAGCCTGGGTGCAGAGTGAGAGCCTGTCTCAAAAAAACAAAACAAAACAAAACAAATTTGTCCAGACTAATGTCTTGGAGAGTTTCCCCAATGTTTTCTTTTAGTAGTTTCAGGTCTTAGATTTAGATTTAAGTCTTTAATCCATTTTGATTTGATTTTTGTACATGGTGAAAGACAGGAGTCTAGTTTTATTCTTCTTCATATGGATATCCAGTTTTCCCAGCAGCATTTATTGAAGAGATTGTCCTTTCCCCAATGTATGTTCTTGGCACCTGTGTTAAAAATAAGTTCTCTGTAGATGTACAAATTTATTTTTGGGTTCTCTATTCTGTTTCACTGGTCTATGTGTCTGTTTTTATGCCAGTATCATACTGTTTTGGTTACTATAGCTCTGCAGTATAATTTGAAGTCAGGTAATGTGATTCCTCCAGTTCTGTTCTTTTTGCTCAGGATGGCTTTGGCTATTATGGGTCTTTTATGGTTCCATATAAATTTCAGGATTATGATTTTCTATTTCTGTGAAGAATGTCACTGGTATTCTGATAGGAACTGCACTGAATCTGCAGACTGCTTTGGGTAATGAGGTCATTTTGAGAATAGTGATTTTTCCAATTCATAAACCTGGAATATCTTTCCATTTTTTCATGTCCTCTTCAAATTCTTGCATCAATGTTTTATAGTTTTCATTGTAGAAATCTTTCACTTCTTTGGTTAAGTTTATTCTTAGGTATTTCATTTGTAGCCACTGTAAATGGGATTACTTTCTTGATTTCTTTTTTTTTTTAACTTTTTTTTTTTTTTTTTGAGATGGAGTCTCATTCTGTCGCCCGGGCTGGAATGCAGTGGCGCGATCTCGGCTCACTGCAAGCTCCACTTCCCAGGTTCACGCCATTCTCCTGCCTCAGCCTCCCGAATAGCTGGGACTACAGGCGCTTGCCACCACATCCGGCTAATTTTTTGTATTTTTAGTAGAGACGGGGTTTCACAGTGTTAGCCAGGATGGTCTCGATCTCCTGACCTCGTGATCCGCCCGCCTCGGCCTCCCAAAGTGCTGGGATTACAGGCGTGAGGCACTGTGCCCGGCTACTTTCTTGATTTCTTTTCCAGATCATTCACTGTTGGCATACAGAAATGCTACTGATTTTTGTATATTTATTTTATATCCTGTAATGTTACTGTTCAGTTATAATAGCTTTTTGGTGGAATCTTTAGGTTTTTCCAAGACTCTACAGTTTTAGAATCTCCTGGTAAGATGAAGGAGTACTCATTTACTTACGCCCTCAAATCACTGGATCTTAGCAGTCTTTAGTGATTTTGTATTTCTCTGTTTGAGGATGAATATTTTTCATTTGATTACTGGCCTTTTGTATTTTTACCCCTTGTAAACTGCCTCAGTTTTGCCTATTTTTTTTTCCTATAGATTAAACAAAAAGATTTGTAGCTCTTTATGTATTCTGGATATTAACCTCTTCCCTCTTCAAAAATATTATTTTTCTCCCACTCTGTGCCTCCCTTTTGCTTTGACATGCAGAAAGCTTTACTTTTTGTGTGATCAAATCTGCTAGTTCTTCCTTTTGAATTTTTTATCATTATTATTATTAGATAGGGTCTCCTCTGTCACCCAGGCTGGAGTGCAGTGGCACAATCACAGCTCACTGCAGGCCTTAACCTCTCGGATCAGGTGATCCTCTTACCTCAGCCTCCCAGGTAGCTGGGACTACAGGACACACCACCATGCCTAGCTAATTTTTTGTATTTTTAGTAGAGACAGGGTTTTGCCACGTTGCCCAGGCTGGTCTTAAACTCTTGGGCTCAAGTGATCCGCCTGCCTTGGCCTCCCGAAGTGCTAGATTTACAGGCATGAGCCACTGCACCTGGCCTAGTTGTTTTTTTATGGTTTCCAGATTTTATGTCTTGCTTAGAAAAGCCCAAGAAAATAAAAGTATTTTCCTGTATTTTATCTTAATACTTTTATAGCTTTATTTTCAAGTTAGATTATTTAATCTAGGTGGAATTTACAACTCAATAATGAAAAGACAACTCAATTTAAAAAACATGTAGAGGACTGACTAGACATTTTTCCAAAGAAGACACAAAAATGGCCAATAAGCCTATGAAGAGATGCTCAACGTCATTTGTTATTAATGAAAATCAAAACCGCCAGGCGCGGTGGCTCACGCCTGTAATACCAGCACTTTGGAAGGCCAAGGCTGGTGGATCATGAGGTCAGGAGTTTGAGACCAGCCTAGCCAAGATGGTGAAATCCTGTCTCTACTAAAAATACAAAAACATTAGCTGCGCGTGGTGGTACATGCCTGTAGTCCCATCTACTTGGGAGGCTGAAGCAGAAGACTCGCATGAATCTGGGAAGCGGAGGTTGCAGAGAGCCAAGATCGCACCACTGCCCTCCAGCCTGGGCAACAGAGTGAGACTCCGTCTCAAAAAAGGAAAAAAAAAAAAAGAAAATCAAGGAGATACCATTTCACATATTTTTTGAATCCAATATATCTCCTTTGTTGACTTATTAGCTATAACTCCTTACTGTGTTATTTTATTGGTTGCTTTGGGGTTTAACTTACAACAGTCCACCTTCAAGGTGTGTTATACTACTTTACACAGTTTAAGAACTTTACACTAGTGTGCTTCTGTTTATCCCCTTCTTTCTGTTATCGGTGTCATGCATTTTGCTTTTACATAGTTATAAATCCCATAACGCAGTATTTTGTTTATATAACATGTAATAAGACAACAGAGACCCAGCCTTCAGGTAGGATTTATCCTAGGAATGCAGGGTTGGTTTAACATTTGAAAATCAATAGGCTGGGGCACGGTGGCTTACGCCTGTA